CAAGTGTGGGTCTGGATGCCATAAATGCACTGCCCTGTGCTCACATCCCACAGCTTTGCAGACAAGTCATCTGACCCTTCAAGAGAAAAGCAGAGGTTAATAGTCATCCTGAAGAAAGAAAAGTGAAATCCAAACCATGCTATTCTCAAAGAAGACTTCATGGTCACCTTTAGCACTCTCACTTCAAGACAGAAAAGCAAAGTATAGTGTAACATGATGTGTTCAGTGGCCAAAATGGTATGAGATACACTGGGACAGACTTCAAGCTTTTTGGTTTAGTTCTTTTGCCTTAATTTTCCAGGCTATAAAATGGTAATAGACTAAAACATAGTTGGCACTTCCACTTGAAAAATTCCATAAATCTTTGGTTATTTAGAAGCTCTCCCATCTGAACTTGAAATGGGTGGCTATTACCTATAACTGCATGTTTACACTTGCATGCTTGTTCTCTACCCGTGAGTCCAGAATATATAAAGGATGCTGACTAGTAAAGCTGTATGCTGGAACATAGTTCACTTTAAGGTAAGTCAAAAATAAGCCTTCAAGCCAGGCATGGTGGTCCATGCCTGTAATCCCAGCACTGAGGGATGATGAAGTAGGAGGATCACAAGTTCAAGGCCCATCTGGGCAACATAGTGAGATGCTGAATCAAATTTAAAAATTGGGGGGGGGGGTTTGCACATCTGGGGATGGAGCTCAGTTCAATCCTCAGTACCCAACCACACATACATACATTAAAAAAAAGAAGATAAACTTCAAATTATGAACAAACTTCTGCAAAAGCTATTAATTTTTTAAGCCATCTTGAAATACATGAAGGAACCTCAAAGAAAACCAGAGATAAATTATGCCCAGACATTCATAGCAACTATACAAAGAACTTATAAAGTTCCTTAAAATTCTGTAGAAAAAAGTAATTTTATTTCTGTCTCTGAAGAAAATGTTCTATTAATCGTGGTGACAATTCAAGACTTTGCTTTAAATCAGTTTAAAATCATAATTAACCTGAATCTCACAATTACCTGTGAAGACTCAACAAAAAGACATTTGAGAGATGACATTAAATATATACACTATGATCAGAAAAGTATCAAATAACTAGTTTTCAAAAAGTTGAAATGACTAATTAAAGCCAACTACAATTGCATCTTTAGTCAAGAACCACTGGGTCAGGGATTTAGTTCAGGGGCACCGCGCCTGCTTTGCAAGTGCAAGGTCCTGAGTTCGATCCCTAGTACCACAAAAAAAAAAAAAAAAAAAAGGAACCACTGTTTCAGACAATGAAAAAAAAGTCACCTAGGAAAAAAACAACATGACTTTGACTTGGGCATACTATGTGGGCACGGTGAAATGAAAACTATTTGTTGTCACTTTGTTAATCAGGACTCAGTTTTCCTCTCTATAAAAATGAGGGGTAGGACCAGGTTTTCAATGAGCACATGAGACTTTAAAATCATCCAGGGAAGTTTTATAAAAAAATAAGGAGGAGTTTGGAGGTGTGGCTCAGTGGTACAGTGAATAATGCTATATATAAAGAAAAAAAAAACACAAGCAAGGCTCTATTTCAGAGATTCTAGTTCAGAATATCTGAGGTAGAGTCTAATAATCTTTAAAGTTTGTCAGGTGATTCTCAATCATCAGCCATATTCTGAGAACCAACACTCTAGAACAGCACTATCCTACAGAAATACTATGTGAACATGTGTAATTTTAAATGTTCTAATATTTTAAAAAGTAAAAAAAAAGTAAAAAGAAATCCATGAAAATAATTCAATGTTTTATTTAACTCAATATGTCAAAAATATTAACTTCAACATATAATCAATACAGAAAGTTATTAATGAGTGTCATGTTCTATATTTTTACACCAGAAGTCTTTGAAGTCTGGTACCTCACATTTCATATCTCAACTTGGACTAACCACAGCTCAAAAGTGATACGGGGCTAGTGACTACTGTGCTGGACAGCACATCTGGATAGATGGGTTTTTTAGGTCCCTCATCTTGGGTATTTTGTAACTATATTAAGGAACTAGAAAAGGAAAAGAAATCATTTTAGATCCTATATGAGCTTGGTCTTGATTTAGTGTCAAATTCAACAGGGGTCTCACTCATTCAACATACACTAATAGAAGTCCTGTCCTGGCAGGGCTCCTGCTCTCATGGTACTTAAGTCTATTTGGGAAGCCAAGAAGTTCAAACAAGCAACAATTTCATTGAACTCAGTGGTGAGTAGCACAAAATGCACAGCAAATAGAAGAAGGGGATGAAGAGAGTCAGATGAAGCTCCAGTGAAGAGATGATTGTGTTCCTCCACATGCTATGTTCTAGAAACATGCCTCAGGAGCTGGCATTACTAGCTCCTCAACTATACTCTTTGTTTTCAACCCAGGATTTGGAATGTTTGAAGAAGGGATTTCACGTCTTAAAAAAATTCCAAGTTTTAACTAGTTCAATTTAAAATATGAATAAGTTAACCAGGTCCAAAAAAATTTTTTTAAGTATATACCATAGGTTAATAAAATCTCTTCTGTAAAAAACCAGATGTAAATATATGAGGCTTTGCAAGCCAGAGACTCTGTTGCCATTGCTGTTTTCTGCAGGATATGGCCCATAGTCCATTGTTTGCAATCCCAGGTATACAACTACTGATGTACCTACTGCGTATCTCTGTATTACATAAGTATGTGCAAACAGGCATTGGGGACAGTCCATAAAAAAGTTTTTTGAACCATCATAAAAAATCAGAACTATTTACATTATAAGACACAATGCATTGCGGAAGACATAGACATTATGTTTTCAGTCTGACTGGGAAATGAGACAAAGCTGAGCTGGATAAATGGGTCAGGAAGATGTTTATAACCTCAGGTGCATTTCTAAAAGACAATTATGGCTGTATCATGGAAACTGGTTTGGAGAAACAAAACTAAGGGCAAGAAGACTAAATTAAAGAGGATAAACAAAATGCAGTCCATACATACAACAGAGCATTACTTAGCCTTAAAAAAGAATGAAACTCTGCCACATGCTACAACATGAAGATACCTTGAAGACAATATGCTAAGTGAAATAAGCCTTAGATGAGGTTCCCAGAAGAGTTAAATTCATAGAAAATATGATGGTTGCCACAGGCTGGGGGCTGGGGGTTGGGGGTTGAGGGTAGATGGATGGTTTAATATTTAGATGCAAAAAAGTTCTAGAGATGAAATGATGCCAATGGTTGTACAACCCTGTGAAGGTACTAATGGCATCGAATTGTACAGTTAAAAATGGTTAAAATGATAAATTTTATTATATATGTTTTACTACAGTTTGCCTTTAAACCCTAAAGAAATATATATATATAAAAAAAGGCTGGGCCAGGGATTTAGCTCAATGGTTTTGCTGCCCACTGCACAAGCGCAAGGACCGGAGTTCGATCCCCGGTACCAAAAAAAAAAAAAAAAAAGGTTGAAATGAGTTTCATTTTATAGTGGTACAAGTCTAACTCCTACCTGGTAATCCTACAGAAGTCACTGTTTTCTCTTTCTGGCTGTATTTCAGGCCTCTGATCCCATTTGCTGCACTGACCCAACAAAAGTAATCAATGAAGAAGCTTAGCACAGAAAGAAGACTAAAGACTACTAGAAAGAGGACTATTAGATTGCAAGAAAGAAAAAATCCCTTCTCAATTCTGAAAACATTACTTTGATATATATATAAAAAAAAAAACCCACAGGATGGGCATGTAACAGAGAGGCAGAAAAAGGAACTGTAAACCCAAATGCAGCAAACTATCTCTGTAGTATCTTTCTCTCTAGACCCGAGTACTCTTCAAAACTCTGACTCTGCAATTCCAAACACTAGAAATCTCCACTTGCATATAAAAATAAAACCTTGGTTTGCGAGTCTAATTCACCCCATCCGTAATCCAAAGAACTTGTTTAGCAAAGCAGAGAGAGAGAGAGACCAGTTGTGATCATGTGACATTCAGCATGACATACTATTCATATTGCAAGACATCACTCATTTATCAAGTTAAATTTCTTAAGAAATGTTTGCTCATCTTGTGGAACACTCAGGGACCAAGTTACTCGCAACCCAAGGTACAATGAGCAAATGAATTTGGTTCATCTCCAAGGTGAACTGCATCTGTCCTCTAAAATTCATTCTTTCATTTTTCTAGTCTCATTGGCCCCAGATATTTATAAGAGAAGCTTATTTTTAGTTCTTTAAGCCTAGAATCTGTTTTGCAAAGTACATTTAACTACTTACTGAATTTTCTATCAGTACAAATGTCTGATAAATTCAGGAATAATGTACTCTGTTTTGCTGGGAACTTTGGAAGTCTTTCACCAAGTGAAACCGTATCATTTACTCTATGACACAAAAACAGCATGCGGCCAGGGATTTAGCTCAGTGGTTTCACCGGCTGCTGTGCAAGCAGCAAGGACTGGAATTTGATCCCCGGTACCAAAAAAAAAAAAAATCAAACAAAAACAGCGTGCACTTATAACTTACATTCATGATGACAGTACACAGGTGTAAACATATGTTTACTTCAGTCTTTCAGCATAGTCATAATTAAGCATTACATGTTTAAATGTGTTCTTTTAAATTACAGTCCTCTTATTTCTCCTCTGGATCAGTCTTTAGGCATAATTTCTTTCTAACATATTATAAAATGTAAAAGAGGACTTGAGTCTGACAGAAATCAGTAACACTGGTCCACCTGGAGCAGAAAGCTCTAACCCTGGCTTTTCTGCTCAGAAATCTTTTATAGCTTTTTTACTTCTAGAAAGCGGTCTAAACTCATGTTCCCACCCTTCAATGTTCTTCATAATATAGCCCAAACCTATTTCTTCAGATTAGAGTCTAAGCAACTAGTATAAAAGGCCCTATTTACAGTCAAAAAGTCTAACTAAAATGAATTTTATTCTCCTCCTACATGCTCCAATGTTTAGCACTTCCATGCCTCTGCAAATGCTGACCTGCCTACTGGGAAATCCTTACTGTGTATCTCATCTCTCTAAAATCTACCCATTCGTCAGGCCCCAATATAAACACTGTGCAATTTTTCCAAATACAAGAAATTATTCTTCCCTCTGAAGAACTGTATCATTTTTTCCCATACATTTCAACTAGGTCACTTTAACTGTTATAGCTCTTGTTTTTCTTATTCAACTATAGGCCAAAGGTCATACTCTAGCAGCTGCATATGACCCAATCACATTTTTAAAATCTGAATAGTGCTTAAATATCAATACTGAAAAAAATCCCACTATTTCACATAAATCTAGATTTGAGGCTTCTCTTGAAAAGTGAGATTTGGCCACTCCAAGCCTAAATCATATGTGGTAATAATTCACTACAACGAAGTCTACACTCTAAAGGCAGGTATTCTCTAATATGCCAGAGTCCATCCATATGGAGATTTTTACCTAAGTCAGATCACCTTCCTGATTCCAGTGGATATATTCTTGGAAGAACTGCTCTAATTCTTCCATATATGCTCTCATACTGTCTTCTAATAGTAGACATTTCATAAATAAATATCTACTAAACAGCACAAAGCACACTAGGTTCCTTCTGACCATTTCAAAATTAAACTGTGGAACAGAAATATAACTACCTCAATCTACACCATTATATTATCCATCAATCTCATTGGTGACATTCTTATTACTAGCTCAAGGTGCTAATCTGAGTCACCGCAAGCTTACTGCCAAATTTAGGATTTCACAATTCAACTCTACTGAAAATTCAAGTTCTTGAATTCAATCAGATGACACAAAACAATTCTGTAATAAGTACTTCTCATCCCACGGATGCTGTTGTTGAAAAAAATTAATACTTTGGGTCATTTTCAACAGCCACTGCATACTTTTCTTTTTCTTTTTATATCATTTATTTTGCAATGACGTAAGCATTGCCAGCACATGGGGATACCGCAAGCAGCAGGCTTTAAGTCTCCAGCATGGTGCACTGCTCTGGGTGTGGATGTCTGACCAGCTCGCCACTGCATAATTTTCAATCTGCTAACCTAATCAGATTTAAAATAACATAATATATAGATCCACTTAGAGACTAATCTTCAACTGCAGGGTTAGGGTGCTAGAGATGTAGCTCAGTGGCTGAACACCCGTCTAGGCTGCACAAAGCCCTGAGGTCAATCCCAATTAATTAAATAATTATTCTTTTTAAAATGTAGGGTTGGGTCCACTAATTATAGATTTTAACTTTCTGAGTACTGTAGTTAGAGAATTCAATAACTGTTACCCATTTACTTCTCCTCCATGTAATTAAGGTTTTATTACATTTCAAAAGTAAAGTATGATGACAGGAAATATTTTTAAAGAGCTATAGTAAACGGTTGTGAAAACAATGAGTCAACGGCCAATATTTACCTAAGTGGGAATGAGCTCCAAGGTAATACTGCATCTTTAAAAAATGTCTGCAACACATCACGAGGCAAAAAGGACATGGAAAAGCCATCATCACAACTGGGAAAGTACATCAAAGTACAGAAGAATGAATGATTTTGTTCAAATAATCCAGCAGATGAGATAGGGAAAATAATGTAAGCATAAAATAACTCAGGATGACAAACTAAATGCCTTAAATCAAATGTCTAATTTTAACAAACTGACAAACTACCTGGCATTTTAGGTAATATCATGTGGGAAAATACACATCTTTAATAAAGAAGTGCAATTTTAAAACAATCTTCAGCAATTATACACCTCTTAACTATTAAAAACATTAAAATTTACTACCAGGCAAGAAGCTCTGAGTTCAACCCTCAGTACCTCAAACAATCAATCAATCAATCAATCAATCAATCAAGATTCTAATAAAACTAAAGCAGAAACAAGTTATATAACGCTGCTGTGGGAACGGTATAAATTTAGTATAACTACAAAGGACACTAAGCAGAGGTATAAAAAAATCATTCAAACTTCTCGATCTGATAACTCTACTTTTTAGCTTTTGGCCCAAATAATTCAAGAGAAAAAAAGTAAAGCAAAAAGATATTTATAAAAAAGAGGAAAAAAAAGCCACAGAATTTAGCTCAGTGGTTCTGCCGCCTGAGTGTAAGGTCCTGAGTTTAATGCCCGGTGCCAAAAAAAAAAGAAAAGAAAAAGAGAGAAAAAAAAAATCTGAAAATGCACTAATGGAAATAGGTGACGATATCATATTCTTTTACACAAAGATACAGTTTATACTTATAAAAGTTACAACTATATAAAGTCAATACACAAATGTTACCAAGTTTCCTCAGGTGAAAAAAGAACACTAAGAATCTTTATTTATGATGTAAGCAAATAGACTGTTAAGAACTGCCTAGAGCAATTGTAAACACTGCCTGAGAATTATTTATGCTGCCTATCAGAAAGTGTTGCCTAAAATGTGTGATGGATTGCAACTGCCTATAGAAACATATCCATTTTACTCAACAATAACAACACATTTAATTTTAATGATTATATATTTACATAAAATCATTTAACTAATTTAAAAATCAAGTGTCTTCATTTCCATGTCCTCATTCTCAACTTCCAATTCTTAGAATCACAGAATTTTAGATAAAGGAAGGAATACATCCTTTTACATGTTTTACAGAAAAATAAACAGGTTAAGTAATTCACACAAAATGATCTAAGAATTTGCTAGGGTTGCAGGTACCTTTTTTAAAAACTTTTTTTCCCCAAAAACAATCACTGATAAAGCCAGATGGTGGCTATATGCCTATTGTCCCAGCATTCTGGGAGGCTGAGAAAAAAAAAGAACAGAAAGTTCAAGCCTAGCCTGGGCACTCAGTAAGAATCTGTCTCAAAACTAAAAAGAAAAAAAATAATAAAAAGGTCTGGTGATGTGGCTCATCATGAAGGCCCTGGGTTCAATCCCCAGTACTGCCTAAGACATAAACAAAAACAAAAATAAATTAAAAAGTAATCTGCAGCTTTCTGATTTATATCATGCCTAAAAGAATGTCTGAAGTGTTTTTCTCATAAAATCTCATAAAAGTGTTTGTCTTCTCTAGAAGGAAAGATGAGGATAAGGGACATGGGGAAATCTTTTCAAGTGGAGGATATTATAGATCTCTTAATATAATCAACACTTGCCATTCTCAAACCTGAATAGTTTCTGTGTTTTTAAGATTATTCCCTACCATAAAAAGAAAGGAAGAAAGCAAGTGAAGAAAAACAAAAACTAGCCAACACATGGCACATACCTGTAACCTCAGCACACAGGAAGCTGAGGCAGGACAACTAACCAAGAGTTTGAAGCCATTCTAGACTACATAGCGAGTTTAAGGCCAGCCTGAACTACACAGTGAGACACTGTCTCAAAAAAGCACAACACAAAAAACAAAAGCCAGTTCCAGCATCTCTTACCTGTACAGAGAAGTCCATCTTTGTAGTAAAGTGCATACACTCTGGCACTGTGTCCAATTAATGATGAGGTCTCAAAGGCTTCATGGTCCTCCAGTTGCTTCATCCTCAAAATAGCCTTCAAATAAACCTTCTTCCAGTGCAAAGCGTCCTGAACAGAATCATCTATCTGCCAGCCCAAATTTTTACAGGCAGTCTGCCACACCTCTGTACAGGCACTTATCACCTTATTCCACTGTTTAGAGACGAGGCAGCATGTGAGTAAAGTCTGAGGATCGAGCCATTTTAACAAATAAAAACTGAGCTCCAGGGGAAGGAGTTTGAGGAAGTCCCGCTTGAGGAGAGTCTCTAGGTTATTGGAGAGATGCCTGAGCTGGACTGCCCCACTCAGACTAATCAGGTGATCCAGAGTTTCATTTTTCTGCAAGTCCGTCAGAGAAAGAAATGTAACAGAAATGTTATCAAGCCATGTCTCAAAGTCCTTTCTCTCCATAAGGTTATGGAAAAATTTACCTGTGGCACATCAAAATATTGTATTAGTTCTGCTCAAAAAGACTGTTCAAGCAAGACTAACAAATGAAGTATTAAAAATTAGTGTAAAAAATTCAGCATTACAACTTTATGCTTAGTTGCTACATTACAACTTTACAGTTAATACACTATACAATTATCTGAACCATTTCCATGCACACAAAAGTAAATACATTTGAGAAAACATACTTTAACAAATCACCATCTCTGAAATCTAAATCAGAGTAAGACTGGCATGTGCAACTTGTTCCTTTTGAAGTCTAGTATATGCTACATACACTGTCACAGTAAAAGATTTACAAAGTATTCAGTCATTTATTCATGATGAAACTGTATTCTATAATACACCTTCTCCTATTAAAACGATTATAAAACTACTTTCTTGGTGAATTCCTTAGTACACTTTCTTTGGGCATTAAAATCACAAAAGCAAGCACCAGCATGTGAAAACCAAAAAGCAAGTATCTGGAGCAGCAACCTGAGACATGAGTTATTGTGTTAGGTACAACCTGAGCTGTCACAAAAAAACACAGAACTGACTACTTGCTTTTGTAACAGATGTTTGGGCAAAAACATCTGAAGAGGGAAAATGAGCAGGTGTTATAAGTCATGTGTCTCAGGTATTCTGGTTCTTCCACCTCCTTTATGGTACTGCTTGTTATAACATGAATTAATAAAGGCCTTACAAAGTCTGTTTTTATAAGCGTCACGAGCTAATGTCACCTCTTAACCATGTGCTCCAGAGAGCCATGAGGGTCCTGGAAGGCTGCACAAATAAAGCAAATTACTAATCCTGATGCTGCAGGCTGTGGTGACACATGCTTGTAATCCTACTATTTGTGAGGCTGAGGCAGGAAGATCATGAGTTTGACGCCAGCCTGGGCAACAGAAAAGACTCCTTCTCAAAACAAAACAAAACATAATAATCCTGATCCATACAAAACACCAAAAAAAGGTATCATCTTCACTTTATAGATGAGGAAACTACAGGTCAAAGAGGATAAATTAATTTATATGAAAAGATTTACTTGGCAGCCAAAAAGTAATGAGCTCATACAAAGTTTTATCACCTTATCACAAGATAACAAGCTCCCTCCTTTCTCTGTATCTTGGCAATCCTCTGTAACATTTCCTGGAAAAGCTCTCTTTCTTCTTTTTTTGGCACTAGTGATTGAAACCAGGAGCACTCCACCACTTTAGTTAGATCATCAGCCTCTCCCCCCACCCCCACCCCCTTTTTTTGGTACCGGGGATCGAACTCAGACCTTGCACTTTTGAGGCAGGTGGCACCACCACTGAGCTAAATCCCCGGCCTTCTCCCTTTTTTTTTGAGACAGGGTCTTTTTAAATTGTCCCAGCTGGGCTGAAACTTGTGATCTTCTTGCCTCAGCTTCTTGAGTACCTAAGATTATCTACTTTTAAGAATAATCATTCATATGAAAATTCTATTCTGTAGGCATCCAGACAATGTCACAATGACTAAAACAGTATCAGTCAATCAAAAAGAATGTGTAAGTTGTAATGTAGGTCAGTGGCAGAGCCTAGCATGCACAGAGTCCTGAATTCAATGCCCAGTACCAGAAAAAAAAACACTTCTGAATTTTTTTTACAGTGAAAAGTATGGAAGGACTTCCTCCATTACACCTGCACATACACTATGACATACATCTGTTATTGAAATGCTTACATTCATATGAGCCAAGTTTTGTTTTGTTTTTTTGGGGGGTACCAAGGATCAAACTTGGGACCTCACACTTGCGAGGCAGGCGCCGGAACCACAGAGCTAAATCCCTGGCCCCTGAGCCAAGTTATTTAAATGATCACAAGGCAAATTTACAGTGCCCACTAAAATATTATCATGCTCTCATCATTAATACATAGCTAAAAGATACTCTAAACAAGCCAAATTAATTTGCCCACAAGCTTTCCAGTAAGCACCTCTCAAAAGGCTAATCATTTGAGATTTATATATTCTTACTCTAAAATTTTCCTCCAGCTTGTACATTACAGATTGCCCTGTAAGAAGGTCAACTCCTTATAGGAGGCTGTTTTCTAATTCTTCACCTCTGATTGTCATGAAAAACATTTTTCCCCTGAGTACTGGGTATTGAGCCCAGGGGTGCTCTAACACTGAACTATATCCCCAGCTCATTCATTTCATTTTTTGCCAGTCTCATTAAGTTACTCAGGCTGGCCTCAAACTTGTGAGCCTCCTGCCTCAGCTTCTCAAGTAACTCAGTTATGCAACACCACAAGCAGGGCGGGAGATTTAGCTCAGTGGTTATACCACCTGCTGCGCAAGCGCAAGGACCCAAGTTCAATCCCCGGTAACCCCCCCCCAAAAAAAACCACAACCAGCTGAAAAAGGCATTAAAAAATAAGAGGGCCAGGGATGTAGCTCAGAGGTGCCACGCCTCCACGCAAAGGCAAGGACCTGAGCTCAATTTCCAGTATGGGGCGGGGGTTGGGTGGGTGGGTGGGTTTAAAAATAAATAATAAATAAAACAAGTCTCATTAACTCTGCAAAATGTATTATTTAAAAACACCAATTTTTACTTTTCTCAAACAATCAATTAACTCTGGAGGGGACTTTCTTAAGGTCACAGGTTTAAACTGAACTCTTATAGAGTGCATTAGTACAAGGTCCCCAGAGGGAAAACACAGGAAGTACAACTTCAATTCAACAGGAGGAGCTTTTAAATCATCAAAGCTTTCCAAAAATGGACTTGCCACCTCCAAAGTAGTAAGCTTCCCATTACTGTAAATAAGCTGGATACTTGGATAAGAGGCAGTGTGTGGGATAAGTGAAAACACTTTAGACCCAAATTTTTTTACTTATTTAGCCACTTCCTAAATTATCGTGGGAATGTTCAACTAACTTCTATTTCTGAGGGCGAGAATCAGAAATAAAGCAGGGACGTGTGAAGCCAGTTCAGGATAACTCAAAAAACATTTTCTATTAATTTCATTGTGGCACTGAAGCTGGAATGAACATGACCACTAACATCCCTTTCAACCTTATCATCTTATTAGTTTTTCTTTTTTGGTACCGGGGATCGAACTCAGGACCTTGTGCTTGCAATTATTAGTTTTTCTTAATACCTGGAAGAAAAACTCAAGAACTAAATTTACTGAGTGTTTTTTAAATTAAGGACAGTTCACGGCTTGAGGCTATCATTGCTAAGAGTTCTTTTCTCTCTACCCACCCCACATCCTGTGCTGTCTTGCTCCTTTTTACCCCCACCTGAAAACTAAACACTAAGCTTGTTCTACTGTCTTTGACATTAACAATCACAAAGGGTATGTGTGGTATGAAAAGATTCCCAAATTAAGAGATGAGTGCCTGGGCTTGGTCTCTGGTTCTAACACTGACTCCCTATGTTCCTTTATGCAACTTTCACATTTATCCCGGTTTTAAAGACTACAATACTGCCCATAAACATTGGCTCATTTAATCTTCACAAGTCCACGGAACACATCAGTACTAACAAGGAAATTTATAGCCCAAGAAGTGGAGTGGCTTTTCCAGAAATGCATAGGCAACAGCATGTTCAACATCTTGCCCAGTCCTCACCCTCCCAAAGCAAAACAAAACCTACATCCCCAGGTCTCAGTAGAGACAAGGCATTCCAGGGGAAACTATGAATGTGTTTCCCAAGCTACTCCACCAGGTTCTGGCCTAATAAAGAATGAAAGCCAAACATCTGTTATTGCTAGAAAGGAGTGTCATCTCCCACCTTTCCCCAATAAGCACAACCAGTTATCATGTACACAGGCTCTAAAAAATGTATGTAGAGGGCCAGGGATTTAGCTCAGTGGTTCCGCCACCTGCCTCGCAAGTGCAAGGACCTGAGTTCAATCCCCAGTACCAAAAAAAAAAGTATGTAGACCTGTAAGCTTACATATGCATAAAATATATTGGGTAAGAAACTTACAGCACTGGGAGCTCCCAGAGAGAATTGGAGAGCTGAGAAAAAGGGATAAGATACCTTTTAATTGCATACCATTTTAAATTTAAAGCTCTGTGGATCAAGTACCTATTAAAAGCCGTTAGTTTTAAAGTAGACTCTTAAAAGTTTTAAAATGTAAATGTTTATAAAATACCAGCTCTGCAACTCCACTTGTTGCTGGGTGACCTTGGCCAAACCACTTCATCTATCTCAAGGCCAGCTTCCTTGTAAAATGTAGGTACAAACAGCATTACTTACAAGGGATTTGAAAGACTTAGAATACACACAAAGCGTTTAGCATACTACTCGGCACTCGTAAGCCTACAATAAATGCTAATTGGTATTATTTAGGATTAATAGTTATCCTTGTTCTTATTTTCAAACCGCACCTCACATACACACCTGTTTCCATGGCATACCCACAATTATGGCGCGCTCCCTCACATTATTACAACGCTTTGTACTTCATAAACCACCTCTCAGGGCTTCACCACCTTTTTACACTCCTCGTAGCTCGGGGACATCATTGTTAACTCATTCCACAGTTAAGAAAACAGGCACCAGGAGGGAGGAACAAGGTGACAGGAACTCCAAGACCTAATTTTCCTTTCTCTAAAACATACTCCAGATCCCTTAGCCCGTTCGTCGTTCCCAGGCACCCTGCTCCCGGAGCCGTGTTCCGCGGGGCACTGACCTGAGCGAGCGCCCCGGGGCCCGGGATCTCGCGCCGGGCTCACACCGACTAGGGGCTCTTGGGCCGCCACAGCCTCGCAGCGGCCGGGTCCCCTCTGCAGCCATGGCGCCTGCAGGGAGAGAAGAACAAACAGGCTGAAGCATGGGTCAGCAGAGGCACGGACGCCCCCCAGCCCCCCAATTCCCGGAGGCCACCGCCTAACATACAAACCTGGACCTGCGGCCGCCGCTCAGGGTCCGCAGCCACACAGGGGAGCGGCTTCCGGTGCTGCCTGCGTCATCTCCGCGCGTCCCACCGCCCCGCGGCTCCCGGCGGAAGCGGCTGCACTTCCGGCGCCCACCCCGAGGGGCAGGTGGGAAGGAAAGGGGGAGGGTAGAAAAAGTCGGCGTCTTGTGACCCTTGCTAAATTTACTACGGCTGGAACCTCACCAAAGCGTTCTTCAGTGCCATATTTTTTTATTTTCCCAGGGTGCTTGTACACCTCACCCAGTTTTATCTTGCACTAGCTCAGCGGCAGTTTTTCTTACTCCCACTTCTCAGAAGAGGGAGCTATAGCTAGAGAAGTTGAGATAGGGGCAAATTCAAACGATGCCCTGAACACGTATTATATCCCAAGCATTGTTCTAGGAGGTGGTTTAGGGAACAAAACAAAATTTCCTGACTACCTGGGGCCTACGTCTGTGGAAGGAGGAAGACAATAAACAAGATATACGGCAAGTCTTAACAAGTGTTAAGAAGAGAAATGAAGCATAGTGGGCTGCAGTCAGGTAATTTGACTATACTACATAGGAGATATGTTTACAGTACTTCACCTCTGACACTTTATTTTCCTCATTGGGATAACTATTGCACACACACCACTGTCTTGATTGAAAACTGAGGCATGCAAGTCTTTTACTGTCAAAGATTGTAGGGAACAGGGGAAGGGGACATTACCAGAACTTCTGCAGTAAGTCCTAGTCTCCTGCGAGCCACGGCAGCACACGGCGAATTACAGGAAAGGTAGACAAATGAGACTGAGAAGAAGCTGAGCTTTGCGTCTGATCAGTGCTGCTCTGGGCAGCAAAGACAAAGCCCCCCTAGCTTGCAGCACCTTTTATTCAGTACATGGGGAAACAAAAGTAACAAGCGAAATAGAGAGTTCAGTACTTCACATTGGGATAAACAAGGTGTAACAAAAGGCTGGGGGGCCGTGGAAATCTAAGAACAATCAGGAACTATGCAGATGAAGATTTGGTTCCTCCCTGGCGGGTCCCGCAGGTGTGGTCTTGTCCTGGAGATTACAGCATCCCGGGATCACTGAGGTCTCAGTTGTTACCAGAGGCCAAAAATGCAATTATGTCTGGAATGTCCTAGCTGGGCTGTAGGCAGGAGAAGTAGGCCTACTCAAATGATTTTTCCCTAGAATTATGTAGCATTGCTCCCAGCAAAAGACTACTGCACAAAGTGCTACACATTGTGAAACACTTTTTCTAAGTATCCTCTCAGTTCCCACAACAGTATTACAACGTAGTTACTATTTTTAGCCCTATAGAGATGAGAAAACGGGTCCAAAGACGTTTAAGTATCTTGCCTAAGGTCATAGTAACTGGCTATCATAGGATCTCAACCCAAACCAACTTGACTTTTTTGTTCGTTTGGTTGGTTGGTTTTTGAGACAAGGTCTCACCCTGTAGTTCAAGCTGGTCTTGAACTCACTGTGTAGCCTAGGCTGGCCTCAAACTCGCAGCAATCCTCCTGCTTCAGCCTTCCCAGTGCTGGGATTACAGGCATGTGCCACCATGCCTGGCCCAAACCAACTTGAAAGCACAAGTATCCTTGTATGTTTGTAAGGGCCCATAATCTGCATTCGCATGTGTTTATACAGCACTATCCATTAGGGTCCTCAGCAGTGATGGAAACATTCTCTCTTGGTGCTGTTAACATGGTCACTATCCTCTTGTAGCTATTGAACACTTGAAAAATGTCTAATATAACTGAGGAGCTAAAGCTTTAATTTTAATTTTGTAAGACCAAGGGCCTTACCAAACGCTCCGAGGAGCTGACTGCAGCGAAGAACACCCGGGAAGGAACACACCAGACAAGTTGGAAAATAAAACAGACCTTTATTAGTCTGGCCAGACGGCACTCCCAAAGCAAAATAGCTTAGAGAGGCAACTGGCTCGGAGTCCGAGGCTGTTCTTATAGGGGGTTTAGGGGGAAGTTAACATATAGTATTAAAGAAAAGGGGACAAAGGTTAGTGGTCGACTGTCACGTATTGATGGTCAGCAGACATTTGTAGCTTGTACTATAGCTTGTGGTGTCAGGAACATCAGTTCCGGGCAATCAAGGAGTTGAGTAGTTTACTTTGGGACTTTAGGTCTGTTACAGATTTTTATCTAGTGTCTCAAAACTAACAAGCATCTTTATCCATTAACTCACATTTAAATCACAATGGGGCTGGAGAAAAGGAACAAAGGTTAAGCAGTCCCACAGTTTTAATGTAAATTTACAGAACTGCATGTGGTTAATGGCTACCATATTGGACCGAATAGTCCAATTATGTGGGACTCCATAACTGTAATCATAAAACTCCCCTAGCCCCAACTGTGATTGAATGTGAGTAAATAGATAAAGATGCTTGTTAGTTCCTGGACACTAGATAAGATCTGTATCAGCCATAATTATTCAACTCTTTGTTCGAAAACTGATGTTCCCGACACCACTATCTATAGAACAATCTACAAAACATCTCCTGACCATCAGTACAGGTCAGGCTAATTAACATACAAATGTAAGACCACTAACCTTTGTTCCCTCTTCTGTAAATTTCGCTTGTTAACTTCCCTGCAACCCCCTATAAGAAGAGCCTCGGACTCTGGGCTGATTGCCTCTCTAAACTACTTTGCTTTGGGAGTGCCGTCTGGCCAGACTAAGGTCTGTTTTACTTTCCAACTTCTCCAGTGTGGGACTGTGTGATTTAAAAGTTAATTACTCCCCTAGATTCTGTTGTAAATTTGATGGTTGGAGTGTGTTTGCCTCGGGACAATGGACAATCAGTAATAGGGCGAGGTTACTCAGCCATCTGTTTGCCCTAAATCCAAATGTCCCGGGGCCCAGTATCTATAGGACAATCTGTAAACAGGGTGGTCCTAACTGTCAGTCAGGATGTCTGATGAACATCAGCATGTGACAATGAGCCACTAACCTTTGTTCTTTTTTTTTTTTTTTCTGTGAATCCACATGTTAAACACCCCCTTAACCCCCTATAAAACAACCTCGGACTCTGAGCCAGGTGCCTCTCTGAGCTATTTCGCTTCGGGAGTGCCGTCTGGCCAGACTAATAAAGGTCTGTTTTCCAACATGGCCTGTGTGTTCCTTCCCGGATGGTCCTCGCTATAGCTAGCTCCTTGGAGCCTTTGGTAAGGCCTTGGTCTTACATTCTGAAGGCACCACTGGGATCCTCGGGTGTGCTCCACTTCAGCTCCTTGGAGCATTTGGTAAGGCCCTTGGCCTTGCATTCTGGAGGCACCGCTGGGATCCCTGGGTGTACTTCACTATAGTCAGCTCCTTGGAGTGTTTGGTAAGGCCCTAGGTCTTACATCCAGTGTGTCCCTTCCCAGGTGTTCTTCTCTGCAGTCAGCTCCTCGGAGCATTTGGTAAGGCCCTTGGTCTTACAGCTGGGATCCCTGGGTGTGCCTCACTCTGGGTGTCCCTCACTACCGTCAGCTCCTCGGAGCTTTTGGTAAGGACAGCGGTCTTACAATTATATAGTCATAACACACAGTGTAGACAATAAGACAGACATATGTCCAGTTAGTGGTAAAACACAGCTAAGGTTCCAAGAATCCTAGCTCCATGTAGGGTATTTGAAACATAGGAAATAAATAAAAACTGTGTGAGAAGAAACCAGTAGAGAGTCCTCAAAGTCAGATTTCAAGAGAGCAAATTTGATTTGGTAGGCAACAGGAAGCTATCGAGAGGTAGGATAGAAAAAAATAAAGATAATAAAAGGCAGAAAAAAATCATAATTTTTAAATTGCACTTTTTAAAAAACTGCAACTTCAAGACACAAAAATTTTAAGCCTTATTCCTTTCCAGGAAATGCAAAAAGGAAGGGAGGGGTGGAAAGGAAAAAGAGAGAGAGAGAGAGAGGGAGAGATTGATTTCCTAATGGTCTTAAAGACACAATAAACTTGGAATCATGCTTGTCACCTATAAATTACCCTCCCACCACTGAAAGCAGGGGACATATGTCAGCTTGAAACACATGTAAACAGTTTGCATTCCAACATAGCTCCCCATAGGGTAACCTGATAGTAGGAATACACATCCTAGCTTGCCCATCTTAAGGACACCCCAAGGCCACATAAAACCCCCAAACCCTGGCTATAATGCTCCTCTCTCAAGGCCACACACTTTATTCTTTTTGAGCATGTACTATTCAAATTTGGTTTAATAAACTTCTTTGCACCTTTCACTGACATTTCTTGAAAATTCTTTTTCTGTACCTCATGGTATTTCCACTTTGGGGGACCTCCAGGGATCCATCTAATGAACAATTGTAGTCTTCTAAGCCAAAGAGTGACTGGTGACATTATAAGACACTTAACAAGAGATAGATACATAGAATACCTCTATGAAAGGAAAGGCAAGAAAGAAAACTAAGCAAGTATTATCTCTGCTGCAAATGGTCTCAACCCCAATAGAGCAGAAGTATGATAAATCAAACTGAAAATTCCAGATGGAATTCCTCCAAGGATAATATTGTTTGACTGTCTCCCAGATGGAGCTGCTCCAAGGGTGGCATTGTATGAATGTCTCAAAAAAAGAGAAACCAAACTGAAAGTTTGAGGCCAGAAAAGATCTAGGAGGAAAATTTATAACTATAAAAAAGTGCAAAATACCATGAATGGGTGCTGGATTTTGTCAAATGCCTTTTCTGCATCTATTGAGATGATCATATGGTTGTTGTCTTTGACTCTGGTAATATAGTGTATTAACGCTACAGAAAATGGGAATAGAAGGTCTTTATCTCAACCTGATTAAGGCTATCTATGAAAAACCAACAGCCAACATCATACTAAAAGGTCAAAAACTGAAAACTTTCATGCTAAAATCAGGAACAAGACAAGGAT